TGCTCGGCTGCTTCATTAACGCTGACAGGCTGCCCAGAAGGTGAGCTGTCGGCGGGATCAGGCTGTCTATGCGGCCACGAGACAGCATCAAAAGGTCTGTGGCCCCTGAAAGCAATGCCCGCATGGCCAGTCACCTGTCAAAGGCAGATGCAAAATACAACAGCAGCAACAACAACAGTAATAACAACAACATCAGGGCAAAATAATTGAGAAAAAAAAGTTGATCGAAAAATATTTTCTTTGGTATGTAAAAGTCATGCTTAAAACTCGCCAGTTTCGCTGACATATTCCGCACGACTTTCATGTTAGAAATAAAAGCTTTCATTTGGAAGATGATATATGGTAGAGTTATTTTTTCTTTTCGAGTCCATGACTAGTGGACACCCTGCATTTAATGTACATTAAATTTGTCATCAAGAAATAAGTGATTATTCTATATTATATTTATATTTACTGTGCTCACTAAGCATTTATTTATTTAATTGGTAATCAATCAATAATAAAGTGATTACTGAAGAACTTATCAAGTGTTTATATTCTTTATATATATGTTATATTTCATGTTAAATATTACATTTATGAGTTGCTAAAAATGATGCATTTATACTCTAATTATATTTATTCGAAATAAAAGGAAGGTAATAGTTCATTACTTGTAACAGTAATTAACACTATTAGTTTATTATATTAGTAAAGATTTGATTATATCAATTGTCATATAATTAGTTCTCAATTACGTCTGATTTTGCTATTGGGTGCTGATGGAGCAGCCTGACTGTAAATGCAAGAGATTCCGATTGAAAAGTTGTCTTGGGCAGCGGAATGTAGCGACTGCTGGAAATGGTCAAGGCATGGCATTTTTCTCTGTTTGTGACTGGTACTGGCACTGGCACCGGGACTGCGACTGCGACTGCTATTGGGACTGCGACTGGCTCTGTCGCTGGCCTCTGCTATCAGCTTTAAGTTTTGCGGCACAGCAGCTGGTTTGGCTTTGAAATGTTTAGCGGAGCAGACAAATAAGTTGATTGTCTTGTGCTGAAGCTGGCACGTAAATGATACTGACAGCAGTGCAGACAGGAGGCAGAGAGAGAGAGAGAGAGAGAGAGACAGGGCCAGATTGCGATTGCTGTCTATCCCATCATCAGCAACGAGTCCAAACTTAATTTCTACATTTGCTGACACGATAATATCAACAGCAACAGAAGGCGCTGTCAAACTGAATTTGCTTCGGTTGTTGAGTGGGTAAAACTGGTAACAGTAGCCAGTATCCAGTAGCCACTTGGAATACAGCTCATCTTCGATGAGAGAAGGGGCGTGGCAGAGATTGAAGCGGAGGCCTATTCCTGGCCAACTATTCCATTAGACGCTTTTAGTGCTTGTTAAATTCCAATTAACAACTTTTTCTGCCAGTTCGGCTGATTGGCGATTTGCTGCGCTGCCTTTTAAAGGCGTGACAGGGTCTACTCTGCAGCCTCCCTTCCCACACCTCCTCTAGCCCACTCTCTCTCTCTCTCTCTCTTTCTTGTTGTGCGTTAATTGAACCCGCACACAGTTGGCCATGTAAGAGCTCACATTAGTTGTGTGGTTTGTTTACCTGGCTGTCAGTTAGCCAGTCCACCTGTTTGTTTGTCTGTCTGTCACGCAACTGTTGCACGTAGCACGTTGTCCATTTTAATAGAAACCTGCCCCATCTTTGGGTGACTCAGCGAGACGCGCGTGCGTTTTGTTAGCGTTTCGCGCGCGGTTTTCGTTTTTTTTTTTGTTTTTTGTGTCTGCTTTAGCAAAGAAAATGAAAAACATTGTAGTTTTTAATGACTGCAAATAACAATTAATTTTAATTTTAATTTGTGGTTTTAGCTTTTAGCTGTAGCTTCTAACCAAATCCGGCTGACCATGCAACGCATCTGCGATGACGATGACGAATACTATTAATACTTTCCCTCCCCCCTCCCCCCTCCCCAGCACCCATTTGGGCCCGTCCATCATAATGAAAATTGATTGAACCTGTGTTTAGTTCAGCGCACAATTCAAATTCAATCAGCAACGGCAAAAGCGATTTTTTCTCGCCTTTTTATTGTTTGCTTATTTTTTTTGTGGCCGGAGAGGGGGAGTACAAAATGTTAAATTTAACAATAGAAAATGCGGTTTTGATGTCTAGAATAGATATAGATTGGGGTATTGCAATTAATTGAAAATGGTACGTGCAATAAACATTTGTGTATCGGCGATGAAAAACCTGTAATTATTATAATACGTCCAGTGAGAAAATTAATTGCTGAAATTACTTTTGGCTTTTGGCCAGAAACAAGATCAAGATTTAGATGCTCATCAAGTTCAATGTGCAAGGTAGCGATTTAGGAAGAATAGTTCATTGGGCACCTTTTCTTGTAGTAGTATATATGTTATTCGATTTTCAACTGAAATACAATCAAGCAAATATTTATTTATATTTTTGGGGTATTTTAAATTACCGTTAAATTTATAAATATAGCACTGTTGATGGTTTTGTTTTATCATATACAAAAACAAAAACTTAAGAGTTTTATTTGGCTTTATACAATTTTGTATAATATCCGATAAAGGCAGGTCTTTTTGGCAAATTGATTTAATTACAGATAGCTGGCATTTGCTTAATATTAGATAAAGGCTGGTTTTCAAGAAAACGGATTTAATTACGGATAGCTGGGCATTCAGCGAGATATTTTATCTTTCAAACTTTTAAAAGGTTTGTTTGGAATTTTAAACAGAAATCAATTTGTTTATAAAAGCTACCCTGCAAATTTCGTCTGCTGCGATTTGAAATGGTTTTTATTACTCAATATAAATTCATTTAGTGCTATCTATTTGTAGCTTATTACATTGTATAATCTACGCAGACTACTTATTGACACATTGATTGACAATTATAGTTTAATTTGAGTAACTTTCAATTACTTTTAATTGCTAATAATGTGTAAACTAATAACTAAGTCAGAATCAGTGCAGACACTGAAATGAGTTCGAGCAGCGCTTATGTAATCGCACAGATAACAACGCTATATATGAATATATATAAAAATATAGAAACCCTTATCTATATACACTCAGGGCATCTAAATGAATGTAATTCAGTTTGCCTACAATATGTAATTATAAGACAAAATCTTCAACTGCAATTAAGATCAGCTGAATCAGTGTTTGCGTTTTCAGAATTAATTTCCTATATACGATATATATTTTTATATATATGTGAATGTGAATTGTCTTATATCTCAAGTCTTGGCGTCGCCAGTTCGCTGTATTCTGACTGTTTGCGTAGAGTATATGATAAATAAATCTAGTGTCCGTTATTATTTGCTTATTCCGCTTGCATTAGAGACCACGTGAACAACGACAACCACAACGACAACAACCACAGCCAAAAACCACAACAACAAGAACCACAATCCACCCACCCAGCCATCCACAGTACCCCAATGAAATGCAGTCAGCGATGCGTTGTTTTCGTCGCTGCATTTGGCTAAGACTTGTGTGCAGCTTTCCTGCTACTACGTTTATTGTTCAAACTAAACTGATAAATGACTTGCAAGCTAACTGATACTAAGTAGTAAGTACATAAGACAAGCTGGTTGGCGGGGGGCGGGGCATTTGAGGGATGGGGTGGTGGGTTTGGTTGCGCCAGTTAAGCGCCTAATGTCAAATAGACAATAAACGGCATGTTGCCTAGCAAATTGTGTTTACTTTTGACTCTGGCTCCGGCTCGTTAGGCTCAACTTGTTTTTGGCCAACGCTGACAAATGGTTGCAGATACATCATGATCGTGCCACAATGATAAATAATCACTTACAGGCGCGTCGCTTCGCGTCGCGTCGCCTTGCGTGAAATCATCGTCGATTTTTTTCGATCACTTATTGTCGCTATTTGTAATCTTTTTTTATTTCGATTTGTTTGAATTTGAATTTTAAACAATTAAAGGCATTTGCCGTTGTCGTGCAAAAGATTTATGGCTTCGCAACGTGCAATTTTACAGCGAAGTCTCCCAAGAGGTGGGCGTGTCAAATGTCCAAAGGTCGTAAAGTCAAAAAGTTGGCTTTGATTTATGCAGCCGAGATTTGTCGACCATTAAGAAAAAGAAGCCCAGGCATAAATTTGCATACGCCTCGAAGGGGCCTTTTAGCAGCGAGCCCTAAAAAGCACGTCTAGAATTTAAGCTTTGTAAGAGGGCTTTTCCCAAATAAAAAGGTTAATACTTATACAGCTTTGAGCAGATTTTGTCGACATGTCAAAGATTACATCGAACAAAGTCCTTCTGGTCAAGTCCAGAAATATTTATTAAAAACAAAACAATGTTGAAAACTTTAGTTACATTTGGAAGGAGTATTATATAAAGTGCTTCTGGTGAGATTGGTCGGCTTATCTTTGACTAATCTTATCTAAAAGTCATATTATTAATGAAGATACTTATATATATATATATAAGGGAACTAAGGTCTAGTGTTTGCAAGATAAGTACAAATTAACTAGCAATTTAATACAATATTTATTACGTTTTTGGAACTATGATATAAAATATCTATGTGTATAATATGTATCTATATACTAGGATCAGTAGAAAAATACAATTTAGTCCCACAGCAAACAGAAAATGTGATTAAAATGTTTCCTTTGCGAAATTAGGCACACCATGATTTTTTATTTAGTTTTTATTCTCAATAAATTTCATCGATAAATTAAAAGATTTTTTTGAGTGACAAAAATTATTTTCTTATGAGCAATTTTTCGTTCTTTACTTGCTACACAAAATACAAATTGTAATTCTGAACAATAGTTTATGAATCGCCTTCGTATTTTGATAATTGCCAATCTTGCACATAACTCATATTCCAGCTCAAAATGATGCTTTTGTAATTTTCGTTATTATAATTGAGCTACGCCCACACACACACACCCAAACATACCCACACACACAGTCTATTAGAGGCCAGGAGTGAAAGGGGTCGCCTCATTGTTGATCAACTTACCAGAATGCGAAAAGACGAACCCAGCTCGTTATGTGCAGAAGAATGCAACTGAGTGGGAAGTGAGGAGTGGAGGTGGCGGGGTGAGAAGTCCTTTGCCGTTCAAGCCTGTTTCTGGTATAGTGGTATGGGGGTACTGTGATGTGTGTCCTGACTGCAGCTTGAGCGCCTCGTTCACGTTGTCAGCAGTTAATTGAATTAGTTGTTAATTTATGGCTATGTTTTCACTGGGAATTTTAGCGGGAAGGCAGCAGCTCCTTAACAATGGATGCTCGCGCGGTGGAGGGGAGCCGGGGGATTGGGGCACACGCACGAAGGCATGCCAAGGACGCCGGTGCGTCGTCGTCTCTCTTTTGTGACAATGCTGCGCCGTCGCCTCAACTCGAGAGTTGACTCTTGATTAAATGCTTGCCACTTAAATTGGCTTTTAAGCGGCACGCACTGCACCCAGGCGATAACAAATCAGCAGCAGCAGCAAAAACAGCAGCGACACTTGTGGTTATTATTAATCTTAACACTTTTTACTGGCTGACATTGAGTAGTTCACTATTCCCACTCATCATTCGTTATTCACATTCAAATCAAAGAATTGAGTTTTCATTCATTCCGAAAAACAATGTTTAACAATTGAACTTGTCGCATTCATATTTCGAGTTGCGCGCCACAATAAAAGTCGTTTCTTCTGTGGACATCCGCGTGGGACGTTTGGAATTCGCGGCAGTTGAACGGCAACTGAAATCCGCACATGCCACAAAAACATGCAAAGGCCACGCAACAATTGCGCCGGCCGGCAGCGGCTCGATTTGCTTGCTGTGTGCTGATTGCTATTTCCTACTGGGTTGTTTGTTTTCTTAACAGCGCCAGTTTGAGTTTAACATGTCCATTTTGAGTTTAACATAAACGCTAACGCGCGCTGTTAACGTTTTTGAAAGCCAAAAAACAATGTAAACGAACAAATGTTTGTGTTTTTATTTGTAATCTTAATTCAATATTCAGTGTTTTATGCTGTATTTACATTAATTTTAGTTCAATATGTATATTTTCTATTGCTCAATGGGCAAGAGACTTGTCAACCTTCGTTTTTCTGTGCATTTTGTACTGATTACTGATAAGACTCTACGATGAGTGATTCTTTAAGTATTGTCTATATCAGTTTTGGGATTTTTATTTATTATTTTTAGACTGACGCAGTCACGCACAGTAATTCAATCACAATCTGTACATTCTAATTGTAGCCTAATTAAAATGTGAGCACGCCTCGTGCTGCGACATAATTTAAAAGCATTATCAATGTGCCATTATTAATTGTACAATTGTACAAAAAGAAGGCGCGCAATACGTAAATAAATCTGAGGAACTTCTTGAATTTCCTCAACATTCATTCAACACTTATTCGGCAAGCAGAGCTTGTAAAGCTCTCCGACTTATTTATTGTGTACTAAATTCAAATGATTTTTTGATGCATTCCTTTCAAGTGGTTTTCTTGTTTCTAAACAAGTTGACACCCAATTTGTAATACTGCTTGAGATATCTGTACTTGTATCTGTAGTTGTTTATCTCTAGCGTGTAATTACCAGCGATAAGTTCTGTCAACTCAACTCAAGCTTTGATAGGTGCGCAAATATGTATCTATAATTGATAGTAGCGATATGAAAAGAGCGAAAGCAAAGAATTCGACTCTTTAGACAACGCAGAAGTGATTGCATCAAATTGAATAGAGTAGACGAATATTGAATACCCTTGCCTGTCATTATGTAAGAACAGGCTGATTGTTCCTATGAATAATAAGATATAGCTTTCAAAAATAGTTTTTCTATATGGATCTGAGTTTCATCTAAGAAGTTGAGGGCTCTTCTGCAATGCGTTAGACATTTTGGAATACCTGCAAGGATCTAAAATTTTGTGTTTTCACTTGATTTATTTCGCATTTTTGAACAGCTCAAAAAGCTCGAAAAGCTTTTTACTCCACAGTGTAGGTAAAAGCGAAGCCAGCCTCGTTGGATTGGTAGATTTCATCGCTGTTGAAAACCACCATCAAAGGACCCGGGCTGTTGCCTATAACGAAAGCTTTTGTGTTAGAAAAAGCTTTTTAAAAGCTTTATAGCTGCGAACTTACTGCTGATGACGACATCCTTATTGGTTTCGCCACAGAAATACGTGGCACGTTCGCTGTTATCCACGAGCAGGGCCTGGGGTACCATTAGAAAATCGGCGCTTTGAACGCCCGAGCTGCCGCTGCGATAACAGGCGCTATCAGTCAACAAATTGCTGGCCGCAGTCTCAGAGCCCACTTGGAAGAAGTACGATCGAATGCTGGGAAGGAATGGGCAACAGTTCCAAATTACGAACAAATAGAAAGAAAATGCAGTGTAACCCACATGAGCGCCGTAGTTGTTGCTGTGCGTCTAAAGCAGATGGCATAGTTCATGTGCGACGGATAGATGCCTTTGCCATCGTTGTAGTTGAAGGACTTGACAACGCCTTTGCCATCCGGGAAGTATTGCAGGCAGCCGACTGGTGCCACCAGGAAACCATCATTGAATGAACTGGCACGTGCCTCCGGCTGTGTAGCCTCCACTGCACCACGCACAGACGAACCGGTTGGACATTCCAGCTGTGTGACGACCATATTCCACTCGGGCGTCGGCAGGTAGGCGCCGCCAGCACGATTCGCCAGCATGATGAGCAATTCGACGCGCGAGACGCCGGCGCTGGCATTGAACGGCACATAGATGTGCTGCCAGGTCTCGACGCCGCACAGGCGCAGTCCGTTCACCTCGAAGTAGTCCTGCGTGCACTCGACCGTCCTCAGATCCGATTGCGCCTGATCCTGCAGCGTGGGCTGGGCGAGCGTCATGGCGAAATCGATGCGCAGCTGGCAAACGTATTTGCTGTACGCATTGATGTGATAGGCGCATTCGCGTGGCGGATTCGTCGGCTTCACCAGCTTTATGTCCTTCGCGGCGGTGGTGCCGCCACAGGTGGGCGTGGCCACAGAAGCCGCCTGCACGCCGACCACGCCAGCAGCACAGAGAAAAACGATTGCAATGTATCCCTTCATGTTGACACTATTGAAGTCTCCGGCGATGCTCGACTGGCTTTTATAGTTGCTGCTGTTGCTTTTGGCTGGCTCGTTTGGCTAATTGGCACTGTCAGGGCGCCTCGATAAGAAATCGATCTGTTTTATCATATTGGCAGGGGGCGAGCTATTTTCGAATTGGCATCTGTGCAATTCCACTGTGAATTTCCAATTAGAATTCTTGTAGTTATTCCAACTGACAAGCTGACATACGCTAAAAATAAACTAAGAAATGTTGTAGATGAAGTAAAAGAGTAATAGTTTGTATTAACATTGTTTTAAGTATATGCGAAGAGCTGTAAGTAAGAGCTATAATAAGAGCTTAAGTATATGATGAAGAGCTTTAGCGAGCTCATTAAAATATAGGAAAATAAACAAATGATAAAAAAAGACAACAAAATATATTCTTTAGGTGAAATACATGTTAAGTGCATTTAAATCAACGATGATATCATTAAACAATTAGCAAGTAAACATATTGCCACATCAAAAGATAGAAAAAATAAAATAATATAAATAAAACTATAAATAGTTTTATCTTTGCCAAAATATCTTCTTGTCCAACTGAAATTGATGTATCAATTTAGTGAATTTGATCAATTTCTCAAGTTTTATTTTTCATTTTTATGGCACTTTCCTTTCTGAGTCTCATTTGTCACAGGCATTTCACAATTGTGATTGGGCAATTTTAGTGCTGATAAGCGGTTGATTGATTGATTGATTGATAATTTCTTCTGTCAAATTCACACACAAATTTATCGAGTTTTGTCGAGAGAAAGAGAGGAATGTGTAACACTTTTCTTTTTTTTAATTTTGACATCATCGCAAGTAATTCGTTGATGATATGTGGGAATGATGAAGACATTTGTATTATAGAGCAAACATAACCCAGTTACGGGAATTTTTAGTTCGTCGAGCAGAGCACGGATGAGTGTTTAGCGCGTTGTTTGAGTTGCGCGGTTCAATGACTCGCCACAACAAGCACTCAAAATACTTTGAATATTTATATGGTATTCATGCTAGTTGACCATACCATGACCGCTCTTAGACATTTTACTTAACAAATATTGATAGACAGTGCTTCTAACACGAAAATCACATCAACTCTGCCGTCGTCGCAGTTGCCACAAGTTACAGTCAGTCGCTGTTAACGCTGCCGTCATATAAAAGCCGCAGCGCTCAACACTTGGCCGCTCATTCTAAATGTGAAAGTGTAGTCGGAAACAGCAACAAATCGTTGAACAGTTAAAACCAACAAATAGCCATAGCAACAAGAATAACAACCGTAACAACAACAACAATAAGGATTATGCGATCACCGATCTGGTTCTATTTGCTGGGCATCTGCGCCTGCGCCTATGCACAAGAGGAGGCAACTACTGTGGCAACTGAACTCGTGCCACTTAATCAAACCAAAATCGAGGAGCAGAACATCGAGCCAATCGTTTGGCGGCAGGCGCGTCGACGCAACACTAATGCAGACAGCTGCACCACCAATGGCGGTGCGACGGGCACTTGCCTCACGCGCTTCAAATGCATGCGGCAGGGTGGCACAGTCAACGGATACTGCGGCACCTACGGCGTCTGTTGCGAAAGTAAGTAATAATAGTGTCGGCGTGTGTGCTCAAGCTTATAGACTTGATCCTGCATCCTAATCGGGTTTAATAAGCAGATATCAGTCAGTGTTTACTTATCAAAACTGCCTTAAATCCATATCTATAATCTGAGTGAACTGGTATTTGACAGAGCATTTATTGGATACATTTTTGGTTTAATGGACTTCAACTTTGGCTTATCTTATATTGTATAGCTAAACAAAAAATATGTTAGAATGGAATATCGTGTTAATAAATTAGCTATCAATTTTATGTGTCCACACACCATTAAAAGCATACTAACAAACTTTGTCAATGCCTTATTGCAAAGTATTAACAATTGGCCACAAATTGAAATTTGATCTAAGCATCTCTTTGCCTATCAATAACGAGCTTTATTGTTGTTCAAACAGTTGAGCAAAGTTGTGCCGAAATTGAAGAAGTAAATGACAATAAATATATATCTACGCGATTAGGTGGGTCTTGATATCACCCTTGTATCAGCTCTCTGAGCAAAGATCTGTCTAAAGTGTATTTTTTATTATGGTTAGTTTGTTTTGGCAATCACGATCTTCTTTATATTTGAGCCATAACTAATCGACATTTGCACTGCAGCTAATATGGCATGTGGCACGACCACCCGCTTGAAGCGCACCATCATCCGGAATCCGTCGTCATTCACCACCAACATCTGCCAGTACACAATTGAGGCATACAGCGCGAATGTGCAACAGCTGCGCATCGACTTCGAGCAGTTCGAGCTACAACAGCCGACGGTGAGTGCGGCAGATGATCAAATGCTCGAATGCCAGGATTACTTTGAGGCGGGCAGGTTTAAGCTGTGTGGCATCAATGCCGGCCAGCATTTGTATCTGCCATTCAATGTGGCATCTGGCATCGATCAGATCACGCTGACCTTTTCCATTCCGACACGTTGGCCCCAAACCAATTGGCGCCTGATTGTCACCCAGGTGGAGGGGCCACAGACGACCAGCAAACGCAGGTCAAGCTTACTGGGTGGCTTTGCGGGTAGCACGAACAGCTTGCAAGATTTGCGGGGCATATTCGCATCGCATCACGCGGACTACGATCTGCTGGCACCTGCCGGCTGTGAGCAATATTACACAGAGCTGACGGGCACCATACGCAGCTTCAACTATCAGCCGGCAATGGGCACCGTCTACATACCCGACACTAGCTACACCATTTGCATCAAGTCCACGCCCAGTGCCAGCATGATTGAGTGAGTTCCACTGTCTGAGTGTGCGAGTGTGTTCACAGCTGACGTTGTGCGCTTCTTTTGCAGATACACATTCAGTAAGTTCTCCATGGCGCAGCAGATTGGCGAGGGCGAAGGCTACGATGAGGCATGCCATGCGACGGTGCATACGCCGGGCAGACAGGAGGATTATCTGATGATACCGCAGTCCTTGCTGGCAAGGAATACGGCCTATCAGCCGACATACTACTGTGGCACCAACGACAATTTGATAGTATATGGTAACTACTTGCAACCAGCAGTCGGCAGCCAGCATCCTTGACCTGCTGTTAATATCGGTTTACTTTTATCCCACTCAGCGTCGCCGCCCTACATGATGCACTTCTCCAGTGACGAGATGACCCTCGACCCCACCCAGGAGACGGGCTTCAGCCTGACTTATCGCCTGCGCACATCAATTCTGTAAAGTGGCAGTCAAGCTGCCCAGTTAAGTGGCCATTCGATTAAGCAGCATCTTAGCCATGTGCATAGAATTTAATAAACTAAAGTGAAAACGATTCTCGAACTCAGGCGTCTCATTTCATCTCTCCTCTCCTCCTCTCCTCAATTTGCCACATCACTTGCCAGCCGCATCAAAACACATGCGGTTGCTGCAACAAATTAAGCTGCAACTCTATTACTTTCCAGCATTAAAACAGCCAGCTTATGTGGGTGATAATCGAAACAATAATGCCAAATTATTCTATGCTCAAATTTTGGCTGCTGTGTAATAGATATTATCCACTTCTCCTTCTTTTCGGAAACTGAAGTAAATTGAATCTTTAACGTAATTAGGTTATTACATTTTAGATATTTGTTGGCTTAGGTGAATTGATTGTGCAATTTTAGTTCAGAGCTGGAAGATTTCTAAACGGTTTTGTTTTGAATCAATATGAAAAATTTGCCAACTTTCAATTATGGTTTATTTGCCTAATAACAACCATTATTTCAAATAATGTATTCGGTTTCTCAAAAATATCTAATTAGTATGCTAAATGGGGATTATAATCAAAAGCTTCGGCAAAAGTTGTAGTTAATTAGTTGATGGATTCCGTAGCACATATTTTGTTGCATTTTGTACTTTAGAGTTTCAAAATCATACTAAATGTTATCCTACAATTGGTTTTAGCAAAGGTATTAGTTGCAGCGGAACTTTCGGCGGTTATATTTGGTCAATTAAGTCAGCATTCATGGCTTAGTTAACCGAAAATTGTTGTGATAATTAGTATACTAACATATGGCAAAAAGTTGCACAAATAATTGAGAGGTTGAACATTCAGAATGTGAAGCAAAAAGTGTAACTTGTTGCGGTCAGCGACACGATTATCCTTTTAGTTGTGTAATTAGTGTAATTAAAGTGAAGCAGCTTTTTTTTTTTGGCCCAGGTTAAGGGGTGAGGGTGCGGGCGCAAGGGGTCGCCCTTTTACAAGTACAAAACCAACTGCCAAACACTAATACACATTTATTAACAAATACTATGCACGTGTACGTGTGCACATGAGCCATAAGCCAGAACGGTAACAAATAGCTGAGTTCAGAGAGCTATTTAATTAGTTACGCACTCACCCATTTTTTTTTTCATTTAGTTATTTATTTTTTTGGAGGGGGTGATGGGGTGGGGGGGTGGGGAGCGGAGTGTTTGCTTAGAGACGGCACTGTGGATGCATAAAACGCGCAATTGGCAGCATTAAGATGTTGCCCCACCCACAATAGAAGCATTTGCGGTGCGCCTTTCACTTTGACAAGCTGTTAGATTTTAGAGTCGCCGCTAATTGCCAGCGCTGCGCTGCGCCGAGCCAAGCTTCTTTTCACTCTTCCCATTTCTTTTCTCTCACTTGGAATTTTTCACACCTAACGGCGGCTACTCAGAGAGCTACTAATAGAGATATTCACATGCATAGGCTCTGTTACGCGTGTGTTGAGGGGGGGGGGAAGCTGAGGCGAAGCTTGGCATCTAATCTAATAGTCAATATTGATGATTGGTGGGCTGTGAAGTGTTTCAGTGGCATCTTCACACCTGAGTCAGAAAAAAAAAAATACTCACAAGAAAAGAAAAAACAAAACAACAGCTACTACTGGGAATGCCATTAGAGACAGCCCCTCTTTGCTATAAATAAAAAATAAAAAAAGAAATGCGTAACACGGACATAAATATTCGTGATGGCTGCACAAAATTTGCTGTTGCAATAATTGTAGAATTTAAGCGTCGAGTTGGCTACGCAAATGCAGCTCATAAATAAAGCGGCAGAAACTAAACTGCAGCAAGGTGGCAAAACGAGTTGCAACAAAATGGAGAAAGGATTGCGGCTTGTGCGACGCAGCTGCACGGCAAATAACGAAAATGCATTTTAAAACTGGCCAAAAAGCAAAGGAGGCAAAAAGGTAAACGGAGCGAACAGGCAAACAACAGGCAACAAGAGGTAACAAGAGGTAACAACTTGGCAGTTAGTTCACTGGCCACTTGGCACTATCTTTCACTTGCTGTCTCTGTTGCGCACTCTCCTTCTCTCTCGCTCTCTCTCTCTCTCTCTTTGTGTGTGTGTATTTAAGTAATGATTTTGCAAAATATGCTCAAAAGTGCCAACAGCAACACCGCAATATGGTGCCCCTAAATGGACTGTAAACCGGAAGTGCGAATAGCGTGCAGCTGCGCCAAGGAACCCATAGCCCAAGGAAGCAAAGAGCTGGACCCTGTTGCAACTGGGTGGCTGTCAAATAAAGCGTGACCAAACTGTCAGGCTCACGTTCAGCTTAAAGACTGCTTTTAAAGCCCTCTGCTTTTTGGCCAATAAACACACACACACACACAGTTTGTCACACACACACACACACACAGTTTGTCACACACACACAGTTTGTCACACACACACAGCTTGTCACACACACACAAACACACACCAGACTCAAGACTCGAGTGGAATGTATGCTAAATTGGAGCTGAGCGAACTGTGGCCTGTATTTTTGGGTGCGCACCGGAAACGGATATTATAACGAGCATGTAAGCCGACATGCTTGACTACCCCTCATCACCTCCACTCCACCCAACCCCCGATGCGACCTTTTGGGCCTGTTGTCTTATCAACATTGCGCTGAAAATGAAACGAAAATATTGCAACTGTCCGCATTTCATAGGTTACTGCTTTTACTTGTTGTTCTTGCCATATTTTCCGCCCCTCCGCCCTGTTCGACTCGCACCCCCTCTTCTAAAAGACAAAAGCAATAAAATCGAAATACAATTGCACTCATATACGTACCCATATACCAAATATTTTTTTTATTCTTATTTTGCTTTTGTCATATGGTATGCGGCGTGAGAATTTTACGATGGCTGCGAAAACTGCAAACTGAGGCTCATATTCACTTTGCTCTCCGTGTGTGTGTGTGTGTGTGTGTGTGTGTGTGTGTGTGTCTGTGTGCTGGGTGTGCATTTTTGTTGATTTTCATGGCATATTTTACAGTGCATATAAATACATACACAAACACACACACACACACATCCATTCATATAGATGGCAAGAAATAAAATTGAAATGAAATATGCAAACATGAAAAATATGCAGCAGCCCGAAATATGCTACGAAAAAATTGGCAACACATTTGCACACACACACACACATATATATTTATATATACATATATATACAGGTATTCACAGTTGCAAGCGGCCTTTGCAAACACATAATACACACACACAAACAAACACACACAGATACAGATGCAGCCGCTTACAAACGCCCACTGTCTGCGATTTATTGCATTATCAATAAAGTGAATAAATTTTGGGGTTATTGTGGCGTGATAGCGCCCATTTTTCTTTTTTGTTGTGCCTGCATATGTGTGTGTAAGTGTGTGGGTGTAAGTGTACTCTGCGTGTGTTGGCGCTTTCCAGTGTTGTTGTGTGCGTGTCGTAATGCTGTGTAAATGGCGCTGTTAATTAAAAAATCGCACCCATGTCCACATTGCCATCTTGCCGGCAGCACGCCTCCTGCCAACAACAATTAACTGATTAAGTGTTTAAGCCGACTGGCTTTAAGGCCCTTGCCCACTTGACTCTGGCCTGAATGGGGATATCAAAATGTTTAAGTTGTGGCATTAAGCGTATAAGTTATAAGCCATAAATATGACCTAGCTGTGAGATTGTCGAACAAACCAATTTGTTAAATTCTTTATAATTTTTTTATTTTATCAGATTATCAGTGGCCATAAAATGCATCTGAATAACAGAAGCAATCGTAATCTGATAAAGCTCTAAATTTCAATTTTAATCTTCTCAAATACATTTTTGATTTAATAAATAATAAATTAAATTTAAGTACTCGCAGAAATATTATAAATATTTTTTAATTTATATTTAATTTTTGATTTTATCATACATTTAATTAAATTTATATTTCACTTACGATTTGTATTTTTTGTGTCGACTGACTTTAGTTGACATTAAATAAATAAATAAATAAATTGTATGTTTCATATTTTATACATTTTTGTATGAATCTTTGAATTTAAAATGATTTATCATTATAAATATTAAAATTAAATATAATTATATTGATATGCACTTTTAGACAGGCTATTTTTGGGAATTTAACATTTTAGCTTTTCTAGGCCTAAATCAAAGCTAAAAGAAACCGTACAAAAATTTGTGGTAGCCATAAATTAGCATAAATATTTATAGTACTAATCCATATATTAGCTTTCACATTCCTTTATTGTCTTTGTAAGAGCTGACACACATCTGCAAATAGCTTCCTATAAAGAAATTGTCAATAGAATGTTAAGAATCAATCAAGCGAAACATTTCGGTGTGTGTGTGTGTGTGTGTGTGTGTGTGTGTGTGTCTTTTGATTGATTTGGCCGCTGAATTGTAATTAACGCTTTGGTTAATTAGTCGATTCAACGTTTGTTTTTGATGGTTGTTATGGTTGTTGATTATTGTTTACCAGGCGGGCGAAATCAATTGGTTTTATCCACCATTATCCGGACATGGGCAATATTTTGAGTTAATATTGACCCGCCTTGGCCCCCACACACACACACACACACATTCTCCTCATCCTATTCAATCAATATGCCGACACTCGATGATTGCTCGAACTATGAAATGCTCATCAATAGAAATTTTGGGAAAATTATGCAAAACACAACTCGCACACAATTAAACAAACAAACAAACCCACGCACAAACTAATACATACACACACGCACACACACACAGACACTAATGCACACACACACACAGACACTAATGCACACACACACACAGACACTTGTTTTGACACCTACTGTTGTTGATTGTGTGTGTATTGTGTGAGTGTTTGTGGCTGTTTGCTTGTTTGACAGTGTTCTCTGAGTTATAATATGTTAATCGCTACCGTTTGTATGTTTGCACATTGAATAATTACCGTTATGTATAGGCATGAATCATTGCATTGTTGCAGCAAGTTTGAACTAT